ATTTCAGGTCAGGTTTGCCGTGACTTTCTCCATTTCACTCAGATTCCTCAATTATCTAAACTGGCTTTTTCTACATACCTCCAGCCCTCTTACTCACTGTGCCTTTGTGTCCCATGGTGTCTTCCCAGTTCACCTTGAGGGCCAGGTGAGGTGTCATGTGGTTGGCCCTCCAGTTCCTAGTGAACTTAGAAATCATTTCAGTCCCTGCGTCTCCACGAGACTCTGAAACTAGCCAGGTGGCAGAAGAACAAGTTGAGAACCCAGCACTGGCAGAAAGTCCTGGCGGGTGCAGTGTGTCATTCTCATCGGGTTCTTCTTAGTACTGCATACTTATCTCTAGGTTGCTCCTTCCCAGTTGACGCTGTATTTTATCATTTTAGAACTGTCTCAACATTGAAATATCTCCTTTTTTTATGGGCATGGTGACCCTCCCTTGCAATCTCAGTTCTGGGCTAGTTAAGAGAAGGGTTGCCACAGGATTGAGGCCATTCAAAGGGGGAAAAAGGAATTTCCTTCAAATGATTTAATTTTAATTGTTGCACATTAAAATATAATATTTAAGAGTCAAATAACTATTGCTTTTATTGTACTCTTTTTTTTTTCTAAAGAGCAGTAAATCATCTTGTTTTACCTCTCATTATTCTTCCTGCTTAAGAAATAACTACTTTGAGGTAGTCCTTGCAGGAGACACCTTTCCCCTAGCTACTCTGGAGCCTGAGGCAGGAAGAGCTCTAGTTCAGGCACTTAGTGAGGTTCTGTCTTAACATAAAAAGCAAAGTGAGGCTGAGGATATCGCACAGTGTTCAAGCACTTAGCTGTGGGCAAAAATAAATAAAATTAAAAAAGGAAGTAGTTGCTTCTGCCTTTCACCTGTCTCTTGGCGTTCCCCTCCCCACATGCCTTGATAAGGCACTTGGAAATTCAGAGCTGGGCCTTTCCAGCATCTCCAATTCTCCTTGTAGGTCACAAGATTCGAGTTGCATCAGTACTTTAAGTTTGTGTGTGTAAAGATCCAGAGCCTTGCAGAAAAAGCTGCGGTTGTGTCATTCCTGTGTGTTCCTTCTCCTTGGAGTTAATCATAGTGCTTTGGTGGATTTCCATGTGTTTACCAACCCTCGACTCTTTGGTCTCCTGAAGGGTTTTCTCTGGGCCCTCGGTCAGCCCCCATAGGTGTATGGTTTACGCTCCTGCAGGTCTCCTTTCTTTTCTCGGACCTCTTTTTGAAGCATGCTTCCAGAGAGTATGGGTTTGGAGGAAGTAGATGTTTGTAAGCTCTGTGTGTCTGAAAATGTGGGGTCTGGTCTTCATTCTCCTGCTTCAGTTTCATAGCAGGAGTAATCCCCTGGGCTTTAAGCTGATGGTCCTCTCCTACTTTCTCTGCCATGTTTTGGGGGAATTGTATTTCCTGGGTATTGGGGCTTCTAACAGCACTTTCTTCTCCCAGATTCTTGTTGTTTGTTTTGGCTTGGCTTGGTTTGATTTGACATTTCGCTTGATCCTCTGGGAGATCTCTTTACTCAGTATCTCATCTCATCCCTTTACTGCCACAGGTGGCAGTAAGACTTTTACTTTTTTCCCGTAAGACTTTACCAATGATGTGCTTTCTGAAAACTGTTTTTGTAGGGCTGCAATACATTCTCTCTTTTTTTAAAAAATACTATTTAAATAACTTTTTTTCATTTATTTTTAAATACTGACTGCAGTTTCCCCTCCCTTCTCTCCTCCTATGCCCCCCACCTCCACTTACCCTCCCCCCATTCACTCCTCCTCCGTCTCCAACGATGCACACTCTTGATTCAGACTATTTGCATCCGGTGGGGTTAGCATCTTGAGTGTGCTCGCCGCCCTCCTGAGGCATTTTCTACTTACTTTGTTATCTCAGTCTTGAACCCTGCGCTTTTCTGCAAGTGCCTTGAAGATCCGTGGTTTGTCAAGATTCAGGAGGAGAACTTTAAGAAACAGCCTGGCTGTCCCGGGTGAATGTGTGAGTCCTCCTCATCATAGCTGATCACAGGTCTCCAGCACCTGTGTCACCCAGCTTCTGCTCTTGGATCATCAGCTCCTTCAGTCTCCTGCCTGCTGGGCAAAGCGTTAGCTACTAGCGGTCTGGGACCCAAGTAAGAGAAGATGCTGTGGTCCCAGCATCCTTCCTGTCCACCTACCATTCTCTCACCTACTCCCACACCCTTCTTGAGCACCTTTTCTGTTCTCTTCAGAAAGTCAGCCACAGTTATTTTCAAAGGCTGTGGAAGATGGACAGATAGTACAGATATATAAGGTAGGGAAGGCTACCCATGGATCTAACCACTTCTTATGCTTAGCCAGGCCAGCTTAGGTTCAGGATGTCCCCCATTCTAGAAACTTTTGCAGCCTACTAGAGGGAAATAAAAACTGGGCCTTATCATTCTCCACTGTGAAGCATTAATCTAATTAATCTTATCAATAAAAATCAGGGAGTCAAATGCTGGGGTAAGAACCTGAAAGATCAGAGAACTGGCAGCAGCGCCAGTTGCTTCCTACCCCCCTCGTTCCTCTGCCCAAGGGGCCGAGGTCCTCTCTCTGCCCTACCTCGCTACTTTCTGCCTTCTCTATTATCTATAGTCCTCCAAACCTCTATGGTTAGCTAGTGGCTGGCTCTGCCCTCTGACTCCAAACAAGCTTTATGTCCTCACACAGCTGCCCACAAGATGTGGGTCTATACTATCATTTGCCACCTTTGTCAGTCTTTATGAAGCTGCCTGTATTTTGTAGCTCTTCTCTCTTCTCGTCTTCATTCTTATTGTTTCTGCCCTAAACTAAATAAACTAAGACAGCTTTTATCTGAGTACGGTAGGACATGCATATCTGTCATCCTAGCACTTGGTAGGAGAATTGGGAGATCAAAGCCATCCTCATCTGCATATCTACATACTGAATTCAGTGCCAGCCTGAGTTGCATGACAGTCTCTGTCAAAAACAAAATAATAGCGTTTACTGTTCTTTAATAGTGTCAGGGGTGGGCATGGAGAGGCAGTCTCCGTTCAGGGTTCCCCTTTCACCTGGAAGCCTCTGTGTGGCTGCAGTTTTGCTGATCCCAAGGTTCTTATATAGCCTGGTCTGGTCTGAACTCAGTATGTAGGAAGGACAAGCTTGAATCTGTGACCTCCCGGCCTCTACATCCTGAGTGCTGATATTATAGGTTCGTGTATGAGGCAAGTACTCTAACAACTCAGCTCCACCCCTAGCGCCTAGGGTTTCCATTCTTTTTTTTTTTTTTTTTTTTTCAAATCTCCAGTTTTCCATAATAAATTTTAAAAAAAAAAAAAAAGGGCGGGGGGTAGGGCCCCCCCCCTTTTTTTTTTTTTTTCAAATCTCCAGTTATCCATAGTAAATTCTGAAAAGAATAGGGTAGGTAGTGACTACCCCTAGTCCTTGTATTTAGATTTTTTTTCTCTTTATGTCAAAGCTTTTCAAAAACAATCACAAAGGGGGCTGGAGAGGTGATGTGGTGCCTAAGAGCACACGCTACTCTTGCAGAGAGCCTGGGTTTGAGCCCAAGCACACATGGTAGCTCTCGACCATCTGTGACTGCAGTTCCCAGGAGTTTGATACCGTCTTCTGACCTCTGCTGGCAGTAGATACACACACACAGAATAAATACATCTTAAAAAGTTGTATGTGGGGTGTATGTGTAGTGTATTGTGTGTGTGTGTGTGTTTGTTGGCAGAAGTTTTTGTCCCACCAGCAGCTCCCAAATAAACACATAGAGGCTTAATATTAATTATAAATGTTTAGCCAATAGCTCAGTATTGTTAAGTAGCTAACTCTTATGTTTTCAATTAGCCAATATTATTATCTACACTTTGCCACGTGGCTTGGTACCTTTTCTCAGTAAAGCATTGTCTGTCTTGCTTTTCTCTATATCTCTCACCACCGTTCTTCAGACTCCACCCCTTCTCCCCCACCCACCCCCAGCATTCCCCAGTTTGGCTCTCCACCTAACCTTACCCTATTGGCCAGTCAGTTTCTTTATTAAACCAATCACAGTGACATATGTTCACACGGTGTAAAGGACTATTCTGAGAGGAAGGCATGTGTATCCCAGGCTATTTTCAGACTCAATAAGCTTGCCATGTAGCTCAGGATTGCCTACTGCCATGCCTGACTCTGTGAACTCTCAGTTTGTAGCAGACACTTCTATAAAAATGTCATGCTAAATCTGATGATGTGTTCAGATTTCAGAAACAGGAAGTTTACTTCCTCATCTTTGAAGTGAAAGAGACCTAGGATTACAAATTATCCATCGTTTATTTGAGAAAAGCCTCCTCTAATGTCTGGACAAGTAGAGACTACATCCTGAGCTGGGGTGCAAGTCCTGGGTGCCACAAGCTCTCTCTGTCAGCTTTGCTTATGCTCAGGGGGATAGGGTGACCGACTGAATGGTTAGGTGGGTGAAGGTAGGACCCACATTTCCACAGCTAATTGGCTGTAAAGTCAGGACAGAAACTTAGGCACTTCCTTTCTATAATTTCATATTTTCCTACTGTATCCATCTTGGAGTGACTTTAATTGAATTCAGACAAAATAGTTGGATTACAGCACAGGAATGATCATTCCTCATTTGTTCATGTGTTCATCAAATATCAGCCACCATTTCCTTTTTCATGCCAGGCATGGAGGAAGAAGAGGATGTGTTCTTGGATCTGTGGCCGCTCGAGGCCAGCACCCTTCTGTGTTTGTTTGCAGTTAAGTGGCCTCCTTAGCACCACCCTTTAGAGTTCGCCTTGCTGACGGCTTCAAACTGATCTCTGGAGTAGACCCAGACCTCCCTGGCTGCCTTCAAACCAGCATCTCTCTTGTACTTTCTCTGAGGCCTGCAGTCATTCCCTTTCAGGTGGCCTGACTTGCCTCAAGGATGAGCTATTGCTACTTTGTCCCACAGGCTCTTCAAGTGGCTTGAGGGAACAGGAATTAAGGCCCAGAGCCACACAGGGCTCATGACAATTGCTCTCTGTTTACAGGGTGCACGAGCTGGTATTACTACGTGACCATGCCAATGCCAGCCTCCACCTTCACAATTGCAGTGGGATACTGGACCGAAATGAAGCCCAAGACATCCCCATCAGATGATCTGGTGTCAGAGTGCCCTCTCCTGCCTGTGAAAACTGACTTCAGGTTTGTGTTTGGTTAGTTTGCTGACTTCACGTTGGGAATGTGAGTCATCCCTGCTGAGCCAGGATGGACCTAATCAAAACAGAGAAAGGCATACCGAAAAAGAGAGAGATGGCCTTGTTGCTCATAAAGAAAGAGAAGAAAGCAGGTGGTTGTGAAATCCTCTGTGATGTCAGGAGAAGCATTTCTACATGTTTGTTCAAATTAAAAAGCTGCAGATGGAGCACTTCCCTTCTACCCTTTAGATGTCAGTCTTAGTGCCTGGTCAGAAATGGCTTAATACAGCAAAGGTGCTCAGCGAGAGGAGAGGTGTGGCAAGAGGAAGGGGTGCAGTGAGAGGGAGGGGTGCAGTGAGAGGGAGGGGTGCAGTGTGAGGGAGGGGTGCAGTGTGAGGGAGGGGTGCAGCGAGGGGGAGGGGTGCAGTGTGAGGGAGGGGGGCAGCGAGAGGGAGGGGGGGAGGGAGAGGGGGGGGGGCGGCGTGGGG